GGAACAGATACACCTGTAAAAAATGAAGAAATTGAATTTAAAAGAGCGACAGAAGCACTTCTATGAGAAGTTGTTTTACATTTATCTACTTTTATTATTATTGTCGTCAATCGTCTACGTGCTACAGATCAAATTTATATTAAAAAAATATTAAAATATTGTCGAAATACTCCGAATAAGAAAAGTGTTATTATTGTTCATAATTTTGTTGATATTGAAACAATTGAAGATCTAGACAAAATTATTGAAAATGAAGTTAAAAAGATTTTTGGGGCAAAATTAGAAACATTACAATTAGTAGTTAATCGTACTGCCAAATCAATCAATTATTTTACATCGTACCAAAGTGGTATTGATGTACGACATTATATTTTAGCAAAATCTCGTTCTAATGCAGCTGATCATTGGAATAAACAAACACTTGATGGGATTATGAATTTACTTCAAAATTCTGAAAATAAACAAAGTCTTGATATTATTAATGATATGATTCATTTTATTAATACTAAACTTCCACAATTATTCAAACAAGATAATCATTATCAAAATAATTCTACTTCACAAAATATAGAAATTGTACAACATAATAGTCAACCTTATATTGTACATTCTGATCGACAACATCGTGAAGATCTTTTAAAAGATCCTCTTTCATTGGAATTAGCAGAAAAACTTGTTTATGATGATGCAGGATATTTTATTCGAAATGAAAGTGGACAATGGCAACCTCGTTATAATCTCTATGATGACAAAGATAATCATTATTTAGTTGTTGAAGCTGCAGGATTTAGAAAAGGTGAATTAAAAACATCTCGAACAGACAAATCAATTAGTATTGAAGGTACTCGATCTGATTTAACTAAAGGAATGATTAATCCTACTATTCGTCAATCTGATATTCCAGTTGGATCATTTAAATTGAATATACCATTCAAAAAAGATATTAATCCTGATGGAGTAGAAATAGAACGTGACGAAGGTTTACTAAGATTTACGATTCCCAAGAAAAAAACAAATCAAATAGATGAAGCTGTGTAAACTATCAAATTGAACACAAAAATTGACATGAACATTTCCTATCATAGCTATTGATTTTACATTGAATTTTAAAAGAATAATTAACTCATTATCCATGTTCTCATTTTTCTTCACTATTTTCTTTGACAATAAAAATCTATTCTTATCAACGTTAAAAATATTTAAACATACGTAGATTTCCGACAGAAATAGATCTATTTTTCTTTGTTTTTATTGATTATTAACATGACAATAATTTCTTATATTTTTTTTAAATTTCACAAACAAAAGTGAGAAAGGTTAAAGGAAGAAGGAAAGTTTGTAGGATATTGGCATTTTCTATCTTTTTTTTCAATTGTCTAACCTTCGCTCTCACTCAATTTAATAGAAGAAACCATCATACTATTTACCATAACATTATAAAAACATCTTGAAGGTGCGAGTGTGATTGTTACTCCCTCACGTATATCCACACCCTATAGTGTATAGAAATTCATGTGAACTTTCATTTGAAATTGTTTTGGACTGTAAGAAATCTTTTAAATATAGAGATCTGCCAAAATTTATTTAAAAGTTAAATGAAACGGACATGATCAAATAGAAAATTTATTTTTTAGCAAATGGATTTACGAATGCTCCATCCATCTCAATACTTTCCTTGAGTTTGTTTTTCTTTTGTCTTTTAACAATATAAACACCGACTAAAGACAAAACAATAATAATGACTGTTAAAGGAATCATTATTGCTAATGTTGTTTTCCATTTTCCATTGTCATTTACTGCTCCCAATGTAGTCAAAATCTTGGTTGTTGTAATTAATGTTGTCAAACTTGACGTTGATGATTGTTCTGTTTTCATTGTTATTGATATAGTACTAATTGGTATTGTACTAATTGTCGTTGGAGAACTTGTACTTAATGACGATGATGACAATGATGATGATTCAGTCGTTGGGGAACTTGTACTTGATGATGATAATGATGATAAGCCAGTCGTTGGACTAGATGTACTTGACAATGATGTCGACTGAGTGGGTGGAATAGTTGTTGTATTTCCCACAGATAAACAATGCGAATCAATATTCATACATTGTTGAGCTAAATCTACAGTAGATGAATCATTTGATAAACAAATTAAATGTACTTGTGTAGAAATAATGTTTTTCAACATAAATATAAAACAATTGCATGGATGATTCTGATCAAGAAATAAAGCTGTTTGATTGAATATTTGAAATATTGGTTTTGATAAACAATAATCATCATCTTTGAACTGAATATGATTAAGAATAATGTCAATCTTATATGAATGATGATTCGATTGAATCGGTGTATCATCTCTGGATTCGAATAACCAAAATCTATCCGTTTTTATTATTCCAGAAAGATCCAAAGATGATAGTTTTTCTAATTTTGTGAAAACAAACCAATTTATTTCTACTAAATTTGTTGAGTTCGCCAATGATAATTTGACAAGTGTCGATGCAATACCATCAAGAAATGAAGTTGTTCGATTTTTCGGTTGAAAATGTTCATCATAGACTATTTTTGTTGTTTCTAATGAAGAAATAAAATTCGAGGATAAATCAAGATTTTGTAGAATTGTACGATTAAAAGTCAATGGATGAATTGATTCAATATGATTATGACTTAAATCAATTGTTTGAAGTTTATGAGCATTTTTCAATGAATTTTCATCTAATTTTTTAATTTGATTACAACACATTGTTAATACTTCTAGATTTGACAGATTTTGTATTGGATTAAAATCATGAAGAAGATTATTTGATATCATAAGAGAACGCAATGTTTCATTCAATGGAAATAAAAATGATGTTACTTCATTATGAATTGTTACAGTTTCCAATGAAGTTAAATGATTATGATTTAAAAGTAAAAGAGTTAAATTTTTTAATTCAATAAATGCATCAGGTGAAATATGTTTTATTTGATTAGATGATAAATCAAGTTCATATAGATTAGTTAGATTAGAAAATATATGCGATTTGATTTCTTCAATCGAATTATCATGCAAATCAATACTAGTCATCTTAATAAATTTAACCAAAGAAGGAATATGAATTAACTTATTGAATGATAAATCTAATTTAATTAATGATTCAGATGATAAACTTTCAATAAGAAGATCAACATTTGTTAATGAACAATTATTAAATTGAACTTCTTCCCATTTTAAATTTGATGATTGATTTGAAATCAATTGAACTTCTTTAGAATTTCGAATACTGATTTGAAAAATGTGTGTATTATCAAATGCTTTTAAATTGAATTGATATGGTAGATTGTGAATATTATTATATTGAATATTGTCAATAGTTATTTCCAAATATTTCATTTGAGTAAATGCATAATCAGCAAGTTGAAAATTTCTTGGTGATTCAAATCTAATATAGATTGGCATATCTGAAACATAATTAAATGATCCAAATATATTTTCTGCTATATTATCAATTCCATTTGTAAAATTAAATTCCAGTTTTCGAAGTAAAGGAAATGTTAATGAAAAATTAGTAAATGTATAAGATGTTAAAGTTGTGAAGTTAAGAAAATTGAATGAATAATGTTGATGTTCATCTGACGAAAATGTTGACCAATTAATAAACGTTTCAGCACTAGGAACATTTTCAATACATGTCACTAAACTTTTATCATCCGCACAATGACAAGTAATCATTGAATTAGTCAGACATACTCTTTGTGATTTGATTAAAATTGTAAATGAAATTAAATAAACAATACAGAAAAACAACTTCAGTAGAAACATTGATCTACTTAAAAAGTTGTATGAAAATGAAATGTTTTAATAGATTTTTTTCACGTCTTATCTATTACCATGCATATTTTTATTATCAGTTCTCTTATTATGCGCATAATGTTGTGCTTATGAATCATTGATAAGGACTATGTAATAACAGCTAACAATTACATAGAATTTTGCTTTAGCCATTGTGTGATGGTTATTTTCTCACCCTCATCCACACCCTCAAGATGGTTTTAACTTTAAATTGATTTATTAATAATGATAGGTTATTGAGTAAACATCTTTTTAAGATAAAAATGAAAATCAAGATTAAATATATAAATCGAATAAAATCATAGAAAAAAAAAGAAAAGTCTAGAATATTCATGAAGAAAGATGGGTGCGAGTCATTTATTCTGGTCGAGTACAGGCAGTGACAAGAAGACGCACGTTGCTGGCCGATGGTTGAAGAGTACCCACATCAATATGAATGATATATGTACCACTAGGTATTCTTGTATTTCCTGGTTGTACATAACTAATTTTTTGCCATACTTGTTGAGGTGTGTTTGCTTGAGCAAGTACAACATTTTGAGGACTTTTCAGTTTGTGTACTGGCTTCTGGCCACCAAACAACTACATCCATTCGTTTCGATCCATATGAATCGCTCGACGAATCAATAGCAAAGTTACTTTCGATATATTGATTAGCGGATAATGTTGCCCACATGAATGTACATTGGCGCCAACCAAGTGAAAGAAGACCTGCTCCAGTAGTATTTGTTATTTGGAAACCATTTGTTAATGTTAAAATCCATGAATATATCCTGTAAAGTCACTGTAGCTAAGGCAGACGATCGCCACATATATTTAGCATAGGTTCAATCGTTGTCAAGGCAATATGAGTTGCTCAAAGGTATGACTAATTCATCGCGATGAGAAAGATAAATGCCAATCAAGCGCCGTTTACAATCAAAATAGGCTGCAGCATCGTACCGATCAAATGAGGATCGAACAGCAAATAATGACAGAACAGTCATATCATTCACGTAGTGAGCAGATTTAAGTATTGAATATGTAAGAGTCGCCGTATGTAATTCCATACCAGAATCGAGCTTTCGAGTATGATGACAGGCTAAACCAAAGAAGGTGGAACGACTCATGAGTTCATCACTATCGCCAAACCATTGTGAATTGTTTGATGATGGCATAGAAGGAAAATGTTTCCATATTAAGGGGAGAAAAGCGATACTTCCGTACTCCCATTGTTCTATCTATATTTGGAACAGAAAAAGTATTCAATATGTAATGATGAAGTTGAAGTTTAACTATTATTAATTTCAAAATCTAATATCTTTGACAGTAATGAATAGATTTTATAAAATATGAACGAGAGAATATCGTGCAAGTTCGTGATAAAACAAATGAGAGTCTAAAAGTTTTTTTTATCATCAAAAGGAACCTGAGAGAATTGTATTAAAAAAAAAGACATTGAATGTTCTCTTAAATACACTGAATAATTCTCAGTAATTAAATCTACTTTTATTTAAGTTACAAAATAAAAAATGACTTTATTTCATTTCATTTAATTATATATTTTCAAAGAATAATTTTATGTTTACGAAAAAATATTAAAAATTCATCTTTAGAAATTTAATCTATAATAAAATATCAATCGAAGAATTTATGCATTACGAATGTTGCATAAAATATAATACAGAAGATTAAAATGACGAAGCAAAATTGATTAAGAAAATTGTTAAGAACAAAAATAAGAAAATAAACTCTAACATATAAAACTGTTGTTTAAATATTTTAGATTGGATTTAAATACTAAATCTTGTACCTACCGTTTAATATTAATACACAATCGACAAGTATAAATAAATATAAAAATATGAATAAATCATTGATGCATATATCGACTGGTTTTTTTATAGCAGTTAACATTGATATATAGATTCTGTTTCACCGGCATAAACAAATAATAATCAAGTCGTTGGATAGAAGACACCATAGGTAAAGGGTTTATTTATTATTCACATATCATTCATAATCTATAATTGAGGTATAGATTGAAGAGACAAAAAATGAAGATATTAATCAAATTGCTCATGTCAATCAAATGCACGGACATAAAATATGATAATACTTTCTTTATAATAAAATCAAATAAATAATATTGATTGGAAGACTAATGAAAAAAGGTAGATATTATCTCATAATCATATTACTATATCTCTTATATATCTACATCAATATGAAGAATTAAGAAAAAAATCTATTCGGACGAAAACTTAGGATTGTGGTGAAATTTTATGTTCAAGAATATTTTCTGATAAAGTGTATTTGATAGATGTTATATGTATTGATTTGACATATTTTTACATTTTATGAATTTGAAAAAACGTGATCAATTCTAATCTACCCATGTAAACATGAAACGCAGAATAGACGCGTATAATCGCGTTTCTTATTGAAAAACGCAGTGAGACGCGGTTAAAACTGAATTTTCCTGCGTTTAGACGCGTATGTATGAACAAACGCATACAAACGCAAAAAGAAAATAATCTGAATTTGCGTCTAGACGCGATCGTGTATATGATCGCTTTTAGACGCAGCTCAAAGAAGTTTTCAATGCGTCCGAACGCGAGGGTCAACAAAATCGTGTTTACAAGCGGTTAATAAAGTTTTTGAAATGCGTTTGCACGCAGTCGCATATGTTAACGCGTAGGTTTGCAGGTATAGAAAATCGTCGAACGCGTCTGGACGCGGTATTAACTTAAACTGCGTTTACAAGCGGTTGATAAAGTCTGTTAAAATGCGTTTACACGCAATCGCATACTTGAACGCGTCTATACGCAGTTATACAAAATATCCAAACGCATCTGAACGCGATCTTGTATAGAAGCGCACCTCGACGCAATTGTATGCATTTTTCGAACGCGGTTGAACGCGATTGTAAGTTAAAGTGCGTTTGTACGCGATCAATGAGACTTATTCAAACGCAT